GGAAGGTAGGAAGGGGGGAGGGAACAGTGTATGCCAATAGCCGCCTAGAGTGGTCTTATAGGCCAGATGAGTGGGGTATAAATAAATAAATAAATAAATTAGTTGAAGCTTGTAATCCTCAATCAATCTATCTATATAACTCCTCCAGAAAGACTTGGAAGGATAAGCAGTCAATGTGATTCCTTCCTATGTTGGGAGGAGGAGGAGGAGGAGGAGGAGAGGCTTTCTGAAGTATCCTGCCTTCCTGATGGAGAGAACAGTGAGAAAGTAAGCACCATTTTTTACTAATGAATTTTACAGCGAAGTCTTTTCTGCAGCACATTTCCCTGACCACATGTTTTCTGGTGGAAACAACTGAGCAAGACAGGCCAAACCTCCCATCACAGCAGCCAGCTATCTCGCCACAAGTATATGCAGGTCCCCATGAAGTATCATTAGCTCTCATAAACTTTCATTCTATGTATCAAACAAATAGGCTTTCACAAATGCACAATGAACAGCCAGTTGACCTCTTTAAGCAAAGATATTGAGCTAGTGTGAGAAGGCCAGAGGAACATACCTGTGTGGCAGTGAGATACTCTACAGGCTTTGCGGAACTGATGCCCCTGAGAGGTAAACCAGTAAATAAGATTGCTTTGGTAAAGAGGTATCTTCAGTCTCTCAGTAATCAGGTAGGTGATGTCAAATATAGCTTTAGCATAGGGATTATCCCTTTGAGAAAAAAAGAACAAGTAGTTAATTCTTAGGAAGATTAACTCTCTTTTTTATGTGTTTGGGTGTGTGTGTGTGTGTGTGTTTGTGTGATGTGCTGTCAAGCTGTTTCCAACTCACAGCAATCTTAGTAGAGTTTTCAAGGTATGTGAGATAATTTAAGGAATGATTTTATAATTTCCATTCCCCTAATAAGTTTCCGTTGCTGAACAGGAATTTGAATAAATATCCTGAGTTCCAGTTCTTCAACTAATCCACTACATCACACTTATTTGCTTATTTTTATTTTACTAAATTCTATTTTAAAAAATATTTTATTTAAGTATATTTATGTATTTTGGTCAGAATCCTGTTAGAGATTTATGTTTGTGTAGACAAAATCAAGGGGGAAATCCAAACAACATGTCAACAAAAGCAGAAAACTGAACAATGGTACATAAGCTGGAAATGTTCAATATACATTTTAATTTCCAGGAAAGGAGACACCAAAGAGTGTGATAACTTAAACTGTTGCATTAATTTCCCATACAAGTAATGTTGATGCTTAAGGTGTTGCAGCAAAGACTTCTGCCATATATTAAATCAAAAGTGCCTAGTATTTGAGCTGGATTCAGAAAAGGAAGAGGCACTGGATATCATTTTACATGTACGTACTGGGTAATGAAATGTACTGAACAATTTCCAAAGAAGACCAGACTATGCTTTATGTTACAAGCATATTGTATTACTTTATATTAGTGTGACTGTGAGGGTTAAGAAAATCAATGGGTTGTTCTAAAAGAAATGGTGTGCAACAAGAAGAATGTGCAAAAGCAGTTGAACATTAAGACAATAAAAATCATAACAACAGAAGAAATAAGCAGTCTGAATAAACAACAACAATGCAAAATGCTGAAATTTTTAAAGATTTCCTATGCTCTCGCTCAGTCATCAGTCCAAAAGGAGACTTCAGCTAGGAAATTAGGAAAAAACTGAAATTTAGAAGGGCAGCTATAAAGAAATTTGAAAAGATCTTCAAGTGTAAGGATGTGTCACTGGAATCCAAGGTCAGCATCACCTACCTATGATATTCCACATTACTATACACAGATGTGAAAGTTGGACCGTGAAGAAAGCCAACAAGGAAAAAGAGAGATTTACTTGAAATGTAGTGTTGGAGAAGTATTTTATAGATAGTGTAGATGGCCAGAAAGATAATTAAATGGGGGCTAGATCAAATCAAGACTGAATTCTCCCTAGAAGACTGAATTCTCCCACTGTCACACTCTGGGCAAATCAAGAGACAATAGTGCTGAAAAAAGTGGAGGGTAGGAGGGAAAATGGAAGAACAAGTGATAAATGGATTGGTTGTTGTGGGTTTTTCGGGCTTCTTGGCCGTGTTCTGAAAGTGGTTCTTCCTAATGTTTCACCAGTCTCTGTGGCCGGCATCTTCAGAGGACAGCAACCTGTGCTCAGTTTGCTGTCCTCTGAAGATGCCGGCCACAGAGACTGGTGAAACGTTAGGAAGAACCACTTTCAGAACACAACCAAGAAGCCCGAAAAACCCACAACAATAATTAGATCCCAGCTGTGAAAGCCTTCGCAAATACAATAAATGGATTGACTCAATAAAGAAAACCATGGCCTTGAGTAGGCAAGAGCTGAGCCGGGCTCTGCACAACAGAACCCTTTGGAGGTCATCAGTTCATAGTGCCACCATACGTCAGAGGCAACTGATGACATACAACAAGTGAAGCTGCATGAATCACAATGACAAATTGCCACAAATTAATAAGACACTGGGTGCATTCCAAATGGTGGGCACAGTCACATGATGGACAGGTAGCAGGAAGACTGTGATTGGCACCTCATTAATTCGTAGCAGTTTGCCACCATGATTTATGATATTTCATTGATGAAGATGTAAATTGCTTAAAAAAATTCCAATCATGTTTATTTTTAAAAGATTTTTATTGTATTTTAAAAACCACCAACTTTAAAGAACAAAGGCAAAACATGCAACAAATCATACGTTCAGGATTATGAACATGTGCTATGTGATATGCTTTTAATTATTGTTATTTTTCTCAATAAAACCACCATACAGTCATAATAGCCAAAATCCTGTTGTGTAGGGTCTAGCTGGGTAGCAGGAATGATGTCATTGTGTGTGTTTAGTCGTTTAGTCGTGTCCGACTCTTCGTGACCCCATGGACCAGAGCACGCCAGGCCCTCCTATCTTCCACTGCCTCCCGGAGTTGTGTCAAATTCATGTTGGTTGCTTCGCAGACACTGTCCAGCCATCTCATCCT